TTGTCACATAGAAAAATCAATGTTTGAATTTACCTAGTTTTTTCCAGACTGGTTTTACAAGTAGATGGCATCCTACTTCCCAAAATCACTGAGGCCCAAACTCGTGTTGCCAGTCACATTGGGTAAATCACTATTCGTGGTCTTCCCATAGCTAATTGTCCCTTCTTTTTTATTAACTGAATTCTGACTTTGCTCAAATTTTCATCCTCTTCTGAAGAGCCACATATTTCAGAGGGATATCTCCTTCCTTGGGTAAAGTCCAAACAATGCTTCCTTAAGCTGCAGTCAGAGGCTCTTGCTAGATCACATAATGCAGTTTTGACAAATGAAAATGAGACATTTGCTGAAGGATTTGAGGGGAAGTTTTCCTGAATCTTAAAAAGAAGTTCTCAGGAAGAAATTCTGCCTCTTTCCTCAGTAAAATGTCATGTCCGTATGTGAAGTTTGGGATTGCTGCTGCCATCTAGCCACAAACCTGAGAATAAAGCTAAAACATAGGTAAAGGTGGGACCAGAATCATTCCAGAGAATGGTGACTGTGGCTCTGTCCTACCTTCTTATAATAGGAAATGGTAAATATTGGTATTTTAAAAGTCATTGTAGGGTTTTTAATTACTTGCAGTTATACACATATAAACCAATGCATACAGTATTTATTGAACCATCTCTCTATGTTCCAAGGGATAGACCATTTCTGTGATTGATCCTCTGTCTTAATATGCTTAAGGATTCATTAATAAGATAGGAAGCACTACATAATTATTTCCAGGTAAATCTTAAAGGATGATAAGGCATTACTTCTTCAGTTCACTTTTTACTCTTCCCCTTGTCTTTATTAGTCCTGTTGGTTTTTATACATGAAATGTTATGAACCATGTCACTTGCTAGCAAAGGAAGTAAAACAAAAATGGCCTTGTATGCAGTAGTTCTCATCTTGACAACATCATATGCAATTGCATATATTAATGGAAGTTATATATCTAGCAAATATGCACAGAAATAATGAATTATGCTCTGTATTAGTATTTAAAAGTGACATTTTGGAGAAGCCCGATGGATATAAGAAATCTCTGTTTACTGCATTCTTAGTTTTTATCATAAAGGCATAGTACATAAGAAAAGATAAATCAAGCACATATACTGAGCATCTACTGAGTACTAGACTGAGCACAAAGAGGCCAGTTAAACAGTGGTAAACAGAAATTTAAAAGAATTTAAACAGTGGTAACATGGAATTTAAAGACTATATGAACAAGCTAATATGAGTAAGCTAACTATAACAGAGCATGATAAATGGTCTTATGTAATGCAGTGTGTGAAAATGTATAAGAGGTATTTAACTTAGAATTAGGAAGGGAATTGAAATGGGCAGAAATGACTCCTGGAGGAAATGCATCAAAATTGAGTCCTGAAAATGTAAGCAGGCAAAAAAGAAAAGAAAATGCAGAGAATTGCATGCAGAGACAACTAGAAAAGAGAGAAAATACGAATTAGGCATCTTCAGAAAGCTGAGAGTGACTAAATTGAGCCAGAAAGCAACAAGTTAACCAAATGTGATTAGAGAGGTACAGAGGGACAAAACAATGAGAAACAATTTTAAGTTACATTAAGGTGTTTGTTTGGACCATATTCTGAATATAGCAAGGATTCATGTGCATTTAATCAAAATCATTCTGGCTTCACTATAGAGACTAAGTTTGAAAGGCACAGAGCAGAAGCGAGGGCAACTGTAGTCGTCCAAGTAAGATGTTACAGAGAGCCGGGCTCCGTGGCTCAGCCTGTAATCCCGCGCCTTTGGGAGGCTGGGGTGAGTGGATTGCCTGAGCCCGTGGGTTTGAGACCCTCCTGGGCAGCGAGACCTCATCTCTACAATAAATCAAACAATCAGCTGGGCGTGGTAGCGCATGCCTGTAATTGTGGTTACTGGGAAGGCTGAGGCGGAAGGATTGCCAGAGCCCAGCAGTTCGAGGTTGTGGTGGCCGGGAGCGGCCACTGCACTCCAATCTGGTCAACAGAGTGAGACTCCAACTAAAAAAAAAAAAAAAAAAAGATGTTACAGAGTAGTTGCCAAGTGAGATGCTGTAGAGTTAAACAGCATTTTTCTAAATAAGAAAAAGGTGGAATCTTGGGGGATATTTAGGTGATGGATTATTACTTGAGTGTGGTAGAAAGGCAAGAGAGAGAGGCATCAAGATAACTCTTGGGTTGAGGTGGATGGAAAGATAATTACTGGGGGAGGGCCACCAAATGTAGCCAGTACTGGGGAAGACAGTGAGTTTAGTTTTGAATATGATTTAATTATTCATGCAGTGTCTCTTGGATAGGATATTGGATTTGGGTAGTCTTTTGTGTGCACAGGTATAGAGTTTGGATATCAGCTGAAGTCGCTGAGGTCCAGTGTTCTGATTTATTGAATGATAATAATAGTATCTACCTCAATATTATTATATGGATTGAATGAGATAAAATAGAAAGCAACTCCTACAGTGCTAAGAAGAAAGCAAATATGATTGTTTTCATGTGCTGTATTCTTTAATTATTATTGGTAATGATGCTTTTCTTTCTGTTACTTAGTTTTACAACCTATAGCCTGAGATGGTAAAAAAGATAATAACAGTCATAGCCCACTGAATATTTATGGCATGCTATGCACTCTTCACTTTTTAATGACTGTACATATATTGATTCATTTAATTTTCAGGAAAACTACATTAATAGTTCTTTTATTATCCCTTATCAAGCATAGAGAACCCTCAATTGTTTTTATATTAATAAAACATTCTTGTATTTTATATCATAATGTCAAATCTACTGCTGGTTGACTTTCCATGCACATGAATGTAAACTTAGATTTCCAGTTCAGTGTTGTAGCTCCAAGCACTTTTATATTCATTGACTTACAGGTTTGAAAGGAACTTAGTCTTCTTATTCAATTACATACCAAATGTGACTTAATTTTGCCAAGTGGTTATTGTACCAAGATTTCTACAGCTTCAGTTACAGAAATCCTCCTAAACAAATGGCATCTCAGTAATAGTAGTTGTCCTTAGCAACCTTTTCTAAAATGTTACCAGTTTCCCCAGTACCCAGAAATTTGCCTGGCACATGCTAAGTGCTTCATGCATTTTGTGGAATGAATGAATAAATGAATGACTGCTTATTAGAAGCACACTCACTATCCTTCAAGTTTCTTCATAATTCCACAAAGACAAAGCAACATTTCCTTAATTTATGTTCGTTCAAGAGAAACGCTAAAATAACTAAGGAAACTTTTTTTGATTTTATGTAAAATTTTAGTAAAATTCCAATGACATCATAATACTGGAATGAAAGTCCAAGGAGACATTTTATCTTCTCTGAATATAGTTGCATGCAAGTTGGGAGTTGCTTTTTAAGCATGGGTAATTGCCATTTTGGCCGGCTTGAAGTGGAAATTTGAACCTTATCCTGGACTGGGAAGGCAATGAAAACTTCAAACTGATGATCAATGTTGGGACAAGGTCAACTCATATTATGAATAGTTAGACTTTTATAATATGAAAGAAGAAAACTGTAGTTGTATATTGGGCCTTATTTTAGTCCTTTGTTTCATTATTGTGTGTGATCCTAGCAGCACTAATGAAAAACAGAACCTAACAGTAGATAGTTCTAATTTTGATGTTTTTTATTATGGCATCACTAAAATAAAATGCAAATGTATATTTTATAAGTTCCATAGTTCCCAGATTTATTCATTTAAGTGCTAAAAAAGCTTAAAGAATAATTTTGCAAAGTAAAGCAGAAATAATCTATTAAATCCTAGTCTCTGGGTTCACGCAGAAAAAGCCTCACATGGCATGTCAAAAGCCAAATTGTGATTTGGAATGGTTATTCAGGGTTGTATTTATTTCAACAAATTTGTTCATAACACCTGAGGATGATGATGAATTTGTGGTTGCTAAGTTAGTGTTGGACATTGCATCTTTAGGTGTCTGATTAAGTAGGTGTTACCATTTGCTATGCTGGGAGTTGCCAACAAAAACTGAATCTGTCACAGGTGCTACAATTTGTGTTTCAGAAAATTTGCTTCCCCAACTTTAATTATCCCCTAAGTAGCTCACTCTACATAAAGCACTGAAAGGAGTCAGCATTTTTTTTTTCATTCAGTACTTTGATGTAAATTAGGATTTTATCTGCCACCTACATGTTGTAGAGATGATGGAATTTCAAGTGACAGAGTGGATCTTTTGTTTTACAATATAAAACACAATTTTCTTCTTATTTTTCCACTTTGAGATCTGAGAAAAATAATGCAAAGTAGCCATAACTAAATAATACATTGACAATGAGAGAAACCATAAGGTATAAATCTGACAAAAAGTGTATAACCTTAGCTGCTGCTGATGGAACATGAAAAATGGGAAGTCCTAAGCCCAAAAATATTAAATAAACTTACGAATGACTTTTTTGTAATTAAATATTAATGTGTTTTTCAAACCTATGAAAATAAGTATTTATTATATTTATAATAGGCAGCCTCTCCTAGACAAGGAAACTGCAGACAGATTGTAGAGAAAGTGCTCTTAACACCATATCAGCTGTATTTTTTTTCATAAGATAAGCTATTTCTTTTCAACCCTTTAACACAAAAATGTAATGGGAAAGTTTTCCCTAAATATTTAACTGCAGATGTAGTTTCTTTGAAATTGACTGTGTTGATTTGCTCAATTAGAGGGAGATAGTTGACCCTGAGAATCTGTATGAAGTGATTATAGCTATAAAAATCATGTTCATGAGATTCATACTGTTTGATGACTTGGGAAATATGCTACAGTTAAAACTTTTTGGAATATTTTAAAATGAAGTTCTTCATTTTTTTGTATGCCTTTCTTTTTGTATGTCTTTCTTTTTGTATTAATGCAACTCCAACAAATGGAAATGGTTAATTGAATTGAGAAATAAATGTGTTTGCTGCCAATTGTTAAACCTTTGAATTGTGATTACAATTTTATATTCTTGTAGGATTATTTAACCATTCATAAGTATGGCAATGCAGCCAGAAATGATCTCTGGAATACATTATCGGAGGTAACGTATAGGAAGTTCAAATATCAAAACCTCTACTTGAATATTTGAATTGAGTTTATAAGACACAACTTTTATTGACACTGATGATTTGTTTTTACTTTTTATGTTTCCCATTTCCGTATATTGCTCTTTTTATGTTTGATATAATGTATTATAAAGATAATGAGGTTTAAATTACTTAAACTACAAGTGGTAGTGAATGATACTTTGCCTAATTTCAAAAAAGACAATACTAATGTAAAAACTTTTATGTTAATACAACGTTCGTTCTTCTCTATGTATGCATGAAACTTAATTTAAGGCAAGAAGATTAATTTTAATGGAACATTATATTGGCTTCACTGACTTTAAATGTTTCATATTTAGGTAAATTGTAAAGGTAAAGATGAAAATGGCTCAATGTTAATTATGTTTATAACTCATGTTTATAAAACTAATTTATACAATTTTGGTTGTAAAGGCTTTAAAAAGGAATGGAAAATATGTAAATATACAAGAAGTAATGGATCAGTGGACACTCCAGATGGGTTATCCTGTTATCACCATCTTGGGAAATACAACAGCAGAAAATAGAATAATAATTAACCAACAACATTTTATTTATGACATCAGTGCTAAAACTAAAGCAGTTGAACTTCAAAATAGCAGGTACAGCACTCTTTTTTACATTAAAAAATGTTTTTATTCTTATATTTCCCTTTTCATTTTTAATATTTTAAAAATTATTAATAATTCAATTCTGAAATGTTGTAAATGAAATATAATTTCTGTTTCTTTATTTATTAATGTAATCTTCATTTTTATTCTTCTTTTACTCTGACTTCCTGGATATTTTAACACTCAAGGCAACAGCACACTAAAGTTATTTGTTTAGGAAGGCAGAATTTTAAATTATCATGGTGATTTTACAAAATAAGTGTGATTGTTTTTCTTTTCTCCATGAATTTTTTTTGAATTAAATTTAAGAACGCTAAGATGTGTTGCAGTGAATTAAATGGAATTGAGGAAACTGTGAGAGTTATAAAACAAATGAGAACAGAAATTAATAATCCAGAAAAACTAATTAAAACAAACAAAAATCTTAACTAAATAATGTCTACATCAAAGGGACTTAAAATAAGCACCTTGAAATGATGTATTAATGCCACTGAGTATCAAAATATGTTCTTCACCCCCATTTTTAGTGTTCAAAACCACTACAAGGTAGCACACATAAAATCTTTATTGTTTCCTTAACTTACTTGTGAAACTTTTATTTAATTGCTGATAACTCAGCATGTTGGATTTCTTTCTTTTCTACTTCATGTTACATATTTTGTGTCTCATTAAAGATTAAGTCAGGGAAAGTTCATAGAATTTAAATCATTCAGTTTTATTTCATATAAGAGGCCCTCGTAAAAGTTTGGTAGTGGGGATACTGGGGGTGGGCAGGGCGATAGAGAAGTTAAAATTAATAAATAAAATGAGGTTTTTGGATTAGGTTACCCTTGCTCATTACCTTGGAAAATTAGGAGTCTGATTTTATTGTCCACCAGTCTATAGGAGAACTGGCGCATACATTAAGTTTGCTTTGTTATCTCTAAGAAGGATGGAAATTGTTTTCCAGTAGGCTAGCTTCAAGATTGGTTGTACAGAGAAGTGAGAGAAATTCAGGAATGTTTCTGCTGACTACATTTGGTATCTAATTTAGGAAAGCAGTGTCTTAAATATCTTCCATATACAGTCTATATTGACCCTCAACACATATTTATTTGCAATCCAACTGTCTTGACTTGCGGAATACTATATTACCCTGTCACACTGTCACCATGGTTAGGGTCTAACTGTCAGTGCTGCTTCCCTTAACCTGGATTCCCCACAGCTGCTAAGTTCTGCTTCTAATCCTCTACCCTCTTGCCCCAGGCTAAACTTGCTTAGGCATCAGCCCAGGCCTTGCCAGGATGTACATAAAAACTACTTGACTGTGGCAAAGTTAGATTCAGGCCAGGCCTTTGAGAATGATCAGTCTGGCACAAGCATCACTGGTGCAGAAAAACGTAAAGGACACACAGATGACAGAACAAATTTTGAACAAAAATGCTCTGTCAACCTATTACATACATCAGACGTACCAGCCATGAGTCTGACTATTTAAAGGAAAAATTTCTCCCAGACTGTGTAAGCATATGTAACATCCAGATAGCTTTGTTTTTGCTGGAGTATTAAAATCATGTGGATGATTTTGAACCCAGATAACTTGGCATATAAAATATTGTGCAAAATAATGCAGGGGATTCCATTAGTCTCAAAAATGATTTTCTATTTATTTTTAAATAATAGAGCTTGTAGATGAAAATTTAGTATTTCAATTTTATACTATTGATCATTTAATTTACTATAATATTCTAGTCAAAGATTCAGTGCCAATTCTATCTGGCCTTTGTATATAGCCTTCCTAGATTTTTATTATACATGCACACAGTTGATGAAGTAAAACCTACTGTCTATTTACGCCAGAAATTCTATAAATTGTGAATAGTTTCTAAGCCTGGATAATCAATTCTTTGTCTTAATTTTTCTGAGGGACACTGCAATATGCATAGGACATTTTAAATATATCCAGTAATTATATTTTTATATGTAACAGTTGTACTATAGTATATAAAGGAAAGATCTTTATATAACTAATAATTACATAAAGTTAGCTGATGTATAACAGTGTAAAATATATGCTAGAATTTGATACTTGGGAAGTTGTGAATTTATGTAGCCTTTTGCTTTATAAAGTTAATGCATTGCAATGTTAACTAATGTTTCCTCACACTGAGTAGCTTCTCAGAGTTCTGTGTTACAGGAAACTATATTTACCTCCTCAGTCTTATCTTTTTTCTCCTATTGCCTTGATGACAGCGACACCTGAACAGTTTTTCACAAAGTCTATATTAATGCTTCATTATATTTACATTATTTAAAAAAATATGTTTCACTCAAGCTAATATACACCTATTCTTTCCTACCTTGATATAATCATTAGAATAGATATTGTTTTATTATAGAATTGCATTTTTTTTGGGGTTTATTTCTCTTTCTTTTTTTTAATAAGGGATGAACTCTTGCCCTGTCACTCATGGGGGAGTATAGTGGCACAATCATAGCTTGCCTCAGCCAAACTCATGGCCTCAAGCAGTCTTCCTGCCTCAGCCTCCCACCTCAACCTTCCTAGTAGCTGGAACTACAGACATGTGTCACTACTCCTAGCTAATTAAAAAACAGAAAAGAAAAGAAAGAAATTAGAGGCAAGGTTTTGCTTTGCTGAGATCTTGCTACGTGTGATTTCAAACTCCAGACTCAGCATCCTCAGCATCCTGAGTAGCTAGGATTACAAGTATGAGTCACCCATACCTGGCTTTTTTTTCTTCTCATGTTTAAAGTGCGATGACTAAAAGTGCGATGACTAAAATTCAAGTATACTTAAGCAGCTAGAAGCCAATCTAATTTCACAAGTTCTTTTTTCTAGTCTTTTTTAAAATATAGCCCATTGCAGTCTTAGATTTCTTGATTTCTTTACCATACAGGGTTTTCACTCAGTGATGTTTAATGTCTTCTAGTCTTTTAATCACAAAATAATGTAATTATCATGCTTTCTGTGATTTTTTAAATGAAATTTATAAGAGGACAAAATGCATGCTGTACATGGTGTGGTGTTTTTTGAAAACTTATAAAAATAACATATAGAGTTGACAGTACAACTGTTCAGAAATGAATATAAATTTCAGATGCTTGGTGACTTGTAACTTTTCATTTGTCTTTGTGATGATGTGTAGTTTTGGTTGTGTGTGTGTATCACACACACACGCATACAGAATATAGAACGAAAACATTCTTAGGAAAAATATAGAAGTCTATGTTTTTTAAAGTTTTACAACATGCTCCAATGTTTGTAAACTATGATCTTATGATTAACTTGCATGTCTGACATTCAGAAAGTTTTCTGTGTATATTATATTGAGTAAACAACATGTAGGTATTTATATAAATCTTTTTTCTGCACTTTAGAGACTTTTTCTAAAACTCAAATATTAAAACATACCAACTTTCATCACAATCTCTACTTATTTAGAAGAAAACAATATAAATACATTCAAATTGTGTTTGTTTTTTTTAAGGGCAGACAGTGTTTCACAAGCACTTTATGATGTTGCTACAAAGACCCATTTATCCTTGAGGATTTTAAACATCCTCAATTTTATATGTTGTTTATCCTTTAACTAATGCTTACTTGGCATCATAATTCAGTTGACCCAACTCAGTATGGAAGGTGTGTACTAAAAAGACAAGTTTATAAAAATTTCTGTCTCACCTATAAATTGAATTAGTTTCTTTTATTTTACTTTAATTCAAGTCTATTCAATCAAATTCAATAGCAAGTTTTGAAATGCCTCTTATTCCCAGAAATTTCCAAGATCTAGGTACTAAAATATGAGTTTATAATTTAACTTGAGAATCAGACCCAGCATTGGCCATTGTTGTCTGTTAACTAATGGCTACAATTTACCAAAAGAGATTCATAATTTTTAGAGAAAAGCTATTTTTAAAATGTACTTCTTCATCTCTTTCTCTCAGCAAATCTGTCACTAAATATTTGGAGCATATTCTTAGTCCTATGTTGGAAACTTGGAAGTATTTGTTAAAGAGCTTACTTACATGGGTTGTTTTTCACTGAATACTATCTGAAGAGTAAATACAAGCTTGTATTTGAAGAGTAAATACTAAAAACTGCTTTATTACCTGACCAATTGTGTGTAGTTACATTAGTGTAGCATAATGTCTCCCCATAATTGGCACTCAAAAATCTTTTTTTTTATTCATTCCAGGATATAGTTTTAGAATTTAGAATTCAAACATATTTTTTTGACTTTCCATACTGGAGATAGAAGTTAGCATAAAATTCTTAGTTTCCTTCAATCTTCCATTTGGACTCTTTACTATTACTGAATTCTGCTTGTTGTGAATGCAAAACATGAAATGATAAAATAATAAAATTCCACATGACAGATTCAGAAATATCTTTTTCTCTCAACCCCTACAAAGACATGTTCATTATAATGTTTATTACCTCAAGAATGGTTCCTGAAGATTTTTCAGTTGGTTGTTTATTCTCACAGTTATTAAACTCATACAATATAACTTCTTACATTTATAAAATAAAACTATATTTTTCCCATACTGGAATTGTTGACTATCTTGTTGATGAAGATGTAATGATAGTTCCAAAGAAATCTGAATATATTTCAAGGAAAGAAATAAAGTATAGTCATAAGTCTTATTGAAAGACTATTCAGCATATCTCTGGCTACTCATTTGAGATTAAATTTATTTACTTCACATAACAATTGTGGGCCTCAATTTTTATCCTACAAAAAGCTAAATGTTAGAAATTGCATCGCTTTAATGGCTGAGAGTTACAACTGGTCCCTGAATGTTAGTGGATACTTTTTGATGCATCATTTTGGAAATTTCATTTTGGAACACAGAGCATTAGGTATGTCCCATAATATATTGTATTGTATTGTATTGATCTGGATTTTAGGGGAATCTGATTAGTTTTGCTCTTTCTATTATTTTTAGTGAGTAACTTTAGGTATGCCATATTAACTTCTCTGTAAAGTATGTTAATAGTGTCTTGCAGAATCATTAGACAATAAATAAGTAGAATATTGAAATGTAAAGGCCTGAAATGTATCTTAATCTAATAAAAGAACAAATAGAAAAGTTATTTTTAACCCTTAATCAATATATGATGGGGTTCAAATTTGTAGATATTAGTTGCTGTTGATTTCAAATGCAAAAAGGAATTATTTTGTAAGATATGTTGCCTTATTGGTATTTCTTTTTCTGCATTGAATTTAAAACTCTGAGAGACTAAGTCTTCTTAGTGGCATTGAAAAAGTTAATTTATCTTCTTGATTTATTCTTTACTTTTATTACTAGGAACTTATTTTATTTTATTTGTTAATGAAAGTAACAAAAATCACACAGAGGGTGCATGGGAAACATTGTTTTGATATAGCTATTTTATTCTTAAAGCTTCTCTTTTATTTTGCAGTTACCTGTGGCAGATTCCATTAACTATTATGGTAGGAAATAGAAGTCATGTGTCTTCAGAAGCAATTATTTGGGTGTCTAACAAATCAGGTAAAATATATATTCTCCCCTGAGGAACTAACTATCTGGTTTCAGATAATTGTTTAGCAACTTAACCTCTGTTTTCAACTCATAAAATGTGAATAAAGACAAACTAGAAAGAGAAGGTAGAGGAATGATTATCAGTTCTATAGAATTAGGTATGGTATAGTTTCTATGTAGTTGCTTATGCCATTATTAAATTTATTTGTTTCTGTGATGGTAAAGACAAAAATTTTTAAAAAGTATGTGTAATACGAATCATATTGTTTTAAACTGTATAATTTTATAACCCCAAATGTAATTAAAATACAATTACAACCCCTAGTAGAACAATATGACAAATACCTAAACACAAGCCACATTTTTAATTCCACTTTTTTTTTCTCCTTTCTTTATAATAAAAAATTAATTAATTGATTAATTAAAAAAGACTGATTCTTTAAGGGATGAGAATCATATAATTATAGGGCCAGAAGGGGGGAACTTAGATAGGTCAAAGCATCTTCTAGGTAGGGTCAAACTTCAAGGAACAGAGAGAGATGAGATTCTATTCTCTTTCTAAATATCTTCAAATAAGATAGTAACCTATTTCAGTTTACTGTCAGAAAGTTATTTCTTCAGTCCAATCTATATCCTGCATGTTAGAGTGTGAAACCAGTTTCTTTTTTCTCCCTGTTTTCCACTGAGTTAAAGAAAAAGCCAATTATCTTATATAACATTTCATTTAGATTTAGTTGGTCAAGTATATTCATAATTTGTTTATTTTTATCTTTTATCACATGCTGTTAATTGTTGTTGTCATGGTCTTTTGCAAGCATCATTTTAAACAGCCACAACTCTTTTATTTGAAATTATGTAAGGTATAAACAAACATTGTTTTCTCCCCCTCATTCTTGCTATTCCAAGGGAGATTAACGTGTTCAAGGTATATATATATATACCAGAAAAAATTCTTACAGGAAAATCTAATCTGTTTTCCAGAAGTGTAAACACTTATAAGTCAAGGTGGATTTTTATTTAAATTTTCTTGTTATTGTATTTTTATTGCATAATCACATGTTATGAAAATGTATGCTTTCACTTATATGCATTGTATGTGAAACATTGAAACATTGATGTTTAATATAGTGATGTATTAAAATAACTTAAAATGTATTGGTGTGTTTCCATTTAAATTGTTTTTCATAGTCTAGTCTTTCATATCTTATAGATAGTATTTATATCACAATTCTGAATTCACAATTAGTCTTTATACTCCTCTTTTCCCATTGTAGTTGTTTAATTTATTGTTATGAAATTATGAGTGAAAGCAGTGAGATGTTATATTTCTCCAACTATTAGAATGACATCATCCCTCCATAGGATTCTTAGGAACCATGAGACAGGACAGTCTTCAGACATAAAGTAAAATGTTGTAAGTAAAATCTTTGGGAGGTAGATTGGAAATAAAAAAACTAAAAGAGTGTGAAGATATTAACCAAACATCAAGATTAACCTAAAACTTCACTCTTAGACAGTGGGAGAATTCAAGGCAAGTCTGATTTTTGTTAGATATCTTTCATGGGTCCATTTCCTCTGACTTCCAAGTTATTTCCATGCTGTAATTTATGGTATCCTTTTATCACTCACAGAGTATCAAGAATAGTGTCACAACTTTTCTTGACCAATAGCCAGTGGTTATGTTTGAGGGATTATTTCCTCTATAACCTTTCATTATTAAGCAGGAATAATAATAATGTTTTGGTTCAAACCATACATTTGCCTAAAATGTCACCTATAATGCTATGTATGGTTGTTACACACAGCTGCATAGTTTGTGCAGTGTATAACTTTAGAAGATACTATTTGTGCAGACGGTGGTATGAATGGTATATCCTCTCACCCCTAAGGGTACAGTGTGCAACCTGCACATTTTAATTTAAAAATGTATCATTTTTCATTAAATCACAGCAGAATCTTCTGCTTGATGTAAAAACATTGTCACATTTGAAATGCTGAGGCTTTTGCAGAATTCCCATACTAAGTCAATTCTTCCTGAAATGTTTGCTGAAAATTTAGTAAATACAAAAATCTGGGAGGAAATTTTCAAGATGCACTTAAAAGAATGACCCAACTTCATGTTTTGCCTTTCAGACCCATTCTCATTGTTTTCAGTTTTCTTCTTCAAGGCCTTAATTCTGATGACTAATAAATAAAAAAAGATTAGAGAAGACATTAACTCTTATCTTCTTTTATACGTTGTCACATCTTTTCCAAAATATTGTCAGCTAATATCAATGAAAATTTTTTCTCCATAAAAATATTTTTAAGCCGGGCTCCGTGGTTCAGCCTGTAATCCCGTGCTTTGGGAGGCTGAGGTGAGTGGATTGCCTGAGCCCGCGGGTTCGAGACCCGCCTGGGCAGGCGAGACCTTATCTCTACAATAAATCAAAAAATTAGCTGGGCGTGGTAGTACACTCCTGCGGTTCCAGCTACTTGGAAGGCTGAGGCGGAAGGATTGCCGGAGCCCAGCAGGTCGAGGCTGCGGTGGCTGGGATCGGCCACTGCACTCCAGTCAGGGTGACAGAGTGAGTCTCCAACTCAACAACAACAAAAAAAATTAAAATTCTGGTAAATTCTTATCAACATATGTAAAAAATTTCATATTTAGTTATTTATAGTCAGCCAATGTTTTTATAGGATGTTATTGTCAGTATTGATATAGATTTGATCTCACAAGATATTAAGGCAAAGTCATTGGTGGATGATATTAAATATAAGTTTGATATGAATCATCATATATTCTTGACAGTTGAATTTATAAAACATTTTAGATGAATATTTAATTAATGCCAAGGTAAGGCAGAAATCATTTTAGCCTCAAATAGTTTTTAAACCAACTTTTAAGTTATTGAAAGCCAGTTGAAATGTTTATCTTTTTCATTCTTAATGTGAAAACATCCCAAATCCAAACATTTATATATGTAGCAGCTTGCATATTGATTGCCTACTCAATTAATAGAACTGGAAGGGAGTAAATATAATGCCAAATGTTAGGAAAGAAAAGATCAAATGAAAGAGAAATTGATTCTGAAAATTAGAAGTAAATATTAGCTGGGTGCAGTGATTCTCCCTTATAATTCTAGCACTTTTGAAGCCTGAGGCAGGAGGATTTCGTGAGCCCAGGAGTTTTAGACAAACCTGGCTGCATAGTGAGATCTCATCTACAAAAATACCTAAAAATTAGCTAGGCATGGTGGTATGTGCCTGTTGTCCCAACTTCTCTGGAGCCTGAGGCAGAAGGATTGCCATAGCCCAGAAAAAAAGAAAAAGCTTTAAAAACCAGTGTTATTTTTATCACTATTTTACAAATAAGGAAACTAATGCTTGAGAAGTAACTTGCCCAAAATATGAGTTGGTTAGTTAAGTAAAGAGCTGACTTTAGAAGTTTGTTTCTCCCTTCTTTTCTTCCTTCCTTCCTCCCTCCCTCCCTCCCTCCCTCCCTCCCTCCTTCCTTCCCTACCTTCTCTTCTCTCCCTCCTTCCTTCCCTCCCTCTATCCTTTCTTCCCTCTCTCTCTCTTTCTTGTGAGTGTGTTTTCTGTAATGTAATCCTCCCCAGACTACACACACACACACACACACACACACACACACACACACACACACAATTTTAATACTTTGGTAGATTGCTTTGCAGAAACATCAGGTTACTCGACACTATGCCTTTGGATAATATACACATTGTACTTCATAAGTTTCACAAAACATTCTCATTTGATTTTTATAAGAGACCAGTGAGGAATCCACTACATGCTATCATCTCTGAATTTGTTTCACATTGTTACCCCTATTATTAGGGTTGACCATTTAAAAAATTCTAATTTTCAGCAGCCAGCAAATACTAGGCAGAAGTGTCTAATTATTTTCCCTTTTTATTTCAAAAGAAAGTATAAACTAAAGGAAAAAAGGAAAAAAGCTTACAAATTGCCATCTACTATGTACATTGATATAGTCTAAATCTTGTGCCATTTTGAATATATTCTAAATATAATTTTAAATTATTATTTCCATCACTCAAAATATAACTTCCATACTTTTTATTTTGGTACTCATCTCATCAAATACCATACCTCATTAGACCATTGGAAAAGATCTCTTTAAAATTAATTGCTTGACATTAGTTAATTTGAAGAACATTTTGGGGATATATAACTGAAAATATATTTTAAAATCTCTTACAAAATCTTTCAGGAAATCATTTCTCCAAAGATCTCATTTGTAACAAAAGCATAAAAATATTCATGAACAGTAATAATCTTCAGATTTTAGTTGTAAATGTAGTAAGTACATAGTTAAAGATAGTAAAAGCCTGTCTTTCTTATTCTGCTAGTCAGATGTAAAATTTGTAGAGATTATTTTCTTATTTAATATACATGTTAATCTTCTTTTTACTATATTCTACCAATGAGATATTAAATGGAATTAGTTTAAAAACTGGAGTCAAGTAAATTGCATAGGGTTAAGTTTTGCTAGCTATTTAAAATATGAACAGGAAATAATTAAAAAAAATAGATTTAATGTCATAGGAATCCATTACCATTTCAAACTTATAAAAATCTAAGTTATGTGTTCATTTATTAAACTTGATGTTTTAATATTGTAACTTTTTTTTTTTGAGTTGGAGTCTCACTCTGTCACCTAGGCTGGAGTGCAGTGGCACAATCATGGTCATCACAGCCTCGACCTGCTGTACTCAGGCAATTCTTCCTCCTTAACCTTCCAAGTCGCTGAAGTTACAGGCACAAGCCACCATGCCCAGCTAATTTTTTGATTTATTGTAGAGATGAAGTCTCGCCAAGTTGCCGAGGCTGATCTTGAACCCTTGGGCTCAGGCAATCTTCTCATCTCAGTCTCTCAAAGTGCTGGGATTATATGCATGAGCTACAATGCCCACCTTTAATACTGTAACTTTTTGAAAAAAACTTCTTAGATAAAAACTATCAAATTTGCTCTTAGCTCAAGTGAATTCAATCATAGTTTTAATATTTTTGCTATAAAAATCTTAGAATATTTGAAGACAGTGTTACTCAGGAAAAACAAAATTCTCAATATTAAGGTTGTTATTTATATTCATTGAATTCAGTCATGATAATTAAAATCCCTCTTTATGAGGTTATTTTAGTTTTTAAGAATGGCATATTTTCTTGTTATTTCTGTTGTCATTTTTACATCTGTAAAATGGATATGATATTCTAAAACTTATTCAAAGCAACTGTGTGGATAAAAATTAAAATTTTGAAAAATATGTAATTATAAAGTTTCAGAGACTTGAGAAATCATTTGCGTTTTAGAAAAACATCTGATAGATTTATTTTTTTAAGTACCATGAATTAGGGTAGATAAAATCTCTAACAAAAATAGTTCCTTCTCCTGTTGAACCATAGAATTGGAAAAGATCTTAGGGCATTATTTGACCCTCAAGCTACAAGTAAGGAAAGTGAAAACTAAAAAGAATCAATGATCTAAATTCAAACATTTATATATAGGAAAGCTGAAAGAAAAATCAAGCTTTTCTACATATTCTTTTTCCAGTGCCATTTTCCCCCTTTCAAGTCTATATAAGGATGTGAAAAATGTACATCATGTTACAGTAAAAGTGCTATATCATTTTGTATCAATAAATTATAGCATAGCAAAAGTACACAAGTCAGGAGACCTGAGCTTCACCATTTCCAGTTTTCTTGAGTAATCCAATTAACCTGCTTGAGTCTCGTTTTTTTTTTGTCTGTTCCAATAGATACAATTTATAAGGTAGTGAGAAGCTGAAGTGACACTTGAAATGTTGAAGATTAAATTTTCATGTTCATCATACTTTTGGGTATAAGTTTTGTTTTACTGCAAATTTTTGAAAATCAATTAACATGCATTCGAACCTGAAAAATTAATGGCATTAATATCTACCCAAAATCTATTTACTTCCCCTCTCCCACCCAGGGAAAGTATTCTATAAATTTAGTCCTTCAAGAATATAAAGGAGAAAATTTATTTCCTATTTTGAAGTCTGGTGTGTAAAATCCTTAATAATGGAATAAGAACTAGAGATGTGTCCTGTACTCAGACCTGAGGCATATGGTTTCTGTGATGAATTTTATGTTTTGAGTTGTTGCAGAAATTAGATAGACCAGTGTGTTGTTGCTGTTTAAATTTTTCTTGTGAAGGTCAGTGTGTGTGTGCATGTGTGTGTGTATAAACATTTTAAGTCAACTTTATTGTGCAAATTTTATGAAACATAATTCCTGAAGATCAACAACAACATTATTAACGTTGTGAATTGTGATTTTGTGAAGTCATTAAAGGCCAAATTTACAAGTGAATAGTGTTCTCTCCTTGTACCATATTTGAAAAAGTTAAAGATGTAAGAAGTAATCATATTGTTTTTACTGACTTTTATTAATTAAATTAACTGGCGAATATAATCAAATTACCATTTTTCAAAGTGATTACAATAAGCAGAATTTATTATCATTACTTCTAGTTCTATGTGGCAATATTAGAATCTTGAACAAACAAGGCTGCTTTTCTAGCATTATTGATGATGTTGAAAACTCTGTTGTTTATTAATACTCTCAAGAAAGCACAAGAAAAAAGGCAAGAACAACAATGTCTTTCAAGTAAATGAATTCTATTGTTTTAATCATTTTCTTCCTGAATAAAATAAGTGACTATGCCTGTAAAACTTTTTCTTTTATTCTAGTCTTATATTCCCATACAATCTAATTAAAAGCCTTGTGATCATAGCAATAGATTTCTAGGTTATACTTACATTCAGAAAGAAAATTATGTGTAGGTAATGGGGTTTTGTCAAGAACGAAATTGTTAATTATAAGAAAACAATTAATTGAGATAATAACGAGGAACCAACTGAAAGTTTTCTAGTAAATTCTAGATGCAAGTGATTAATTAACTAAAGGGGAGGTTTCAGCTAGGTATCTAGAATGGCATTCTTCTTTATTTATTTATATTGTTATATCTTGTGTTAAGAAAACATACTTCATTTCATTTTCACTCTTACAGTGTAAAAATTATTTCCCCCCCCAATGCTATTTTTCAGAGCACCATAGAATAACTTATTTGGACAAAGGAAGCTGGCTGCTGGGAAACATCAATCAAACTGGTTATTTTAGAGTCAACTATGACCTAAGGAACTGGAGATTATTAATTGACCAGTTAATAAGGAACCATGAGGTATACACTGGATTTGCTCATCAAAGATCTTTTTCAATATGTGAGCACTTGCCATTGTAATCCTAAAACATTCCTTTTTTTTTTTTTTTCTTTTCTTCCAATTGGCCTCAGGTTCTTTCTGTCAGTAACCGAGCAGGTTTGATCGACGATGCCTTCAGCCTAGCCAGGTATGTTTTCCTTATTTCCACAATAAAAACTTAAGCCTCTAAGACTTCATCTATTAAGGTAAATGGTACATATATGTTTTGAATTTAAGAAATTTCAAAAATTCTATGTCATGATTTTTATGTCTGGATATGAATTATAATTAGTGTCCCAAACTCTCAGTCAATAATAGCCAAAAGGTATTTCCGAGTCAGGAGAAGCTTGATCAATTTCTCTGCAAGTTCAATTTAACACTCTGAAGATTAATAATCTCTTCCCAATCTCATTAATGAACTCTATAAAATAGTCATTGTACCATACTTAAATTTTGACAGAAAATACCTTCAGAGTCAGCATTTTTTTTCTGATATATATCAGTATATCTTTTTAAGATTTTTTTAAAAATGTGATTCATTATGAATAGCTTGTGCTGCAAGACAGAAATAAATATTCCACTGAGTAAGACTGTTTTGGAAAAATTATGTAACAGTCTCGTAGCAGAAGATTTTTGTAGTGCTAGTTATGTTTGTCTTACTTTCACAATTATATTGAGAATGTTGAAATCAATTATTCCTTTGAATAGTCATTAAATGAAATAATATTGATCATAAACTTAAGCTATTTACTCAGTTTTGAGACTAAATAGTAAAATAAAGTCAGTCTTTTTAATATTTTATAACATTTTACATCTAAGTACAGTTTTAATTTTAATAACCTAATTTTTCAAGCTACAAATTAAGACATGGTTTTACCTGGCTGCTATGATTTACCACATTTCTTTCTAAAATTATTGTGGGAAACTGGTTAGTTATGTCTGTGATTATATGAACACATGGCTTGCCTTAGTAATTGTTTCATACTTGGAACCTGAAACTGCTTTTACAGTTTATGTGCTCAAATTTTGATTCTCTTTCATATGTTAAAAAGCACATGGTACCTTGTAGCATTCTAATTCAACAAAATAATGAACCTACATATCGCAGGTTTGCTAATTATTTTGATAGAAGCAAAGCCGGAGTTTGGGATCAAGCTAAAGAGATTGGTTTGTGTAGAAATAAGTAATGTAGAGTGGCGAACACATAAAGCAGGGTACAGAAAAAATTTCAAGTGCTTTTCTAAAGAAAAAAAAATCTCTGACTTTTGTTTTCCTTATTAACACTAAAGAAGTCAAGAGCCATTACTAATATTTTGTCTTTTTTGTTAAGAGACGCTGTATCTGTGCCTCATTCTGAGCAGGCATTAAGAGTAACGCGTGCAAATTTGCCTATTAACTGAATGGAAATCTAAGAACAATTTTTTTTGGCAAAGAAATTTCTAATGAAATTGTACCAGTTGAATGTAGTTGTGTAATAAGAACTGGATTCAGTTTTAGCAAAGATAAATGAGGGCTTTTCTATGCCACAGTGCCAGCTTATTGGGCAGTTTAGAAACAACAGAGGTGGAGGAAGTCTTGCTGAAATGGTGATGTGTGGAGATAATGCTTAAGGTGTAGTTTTTGCTCTGAAGTAAAATGTGAAGACTTTGAAGAAAGTATTATGTATGGCAGAAAAATTATTGACATAAAAGTGTAGAGAGTCCAGAAAGCAGGAAAGAGAGTGTATCTAATGTAATATTGCACTGAAAGAGATGCAGAATAAGAGAGTGCGGGATATTGAGTACCACAAAGGGTTAAGAACTCAGAGAACTAATAACACTTGCTAATCATTATTAAATACTTATAAGGCACCTGGTTCTGTTCTGTTTTATATATAGTAATTTGTTTAATTCTCACATCTTTATAAGATATTTAGATGTGTATTATTATTGTCTCTTTAAATATGGGGAAATAGAGGCTCAGAGAGATTATGTAACTTGTCTGAAGTCACACAGCTACTAGTTGATAGAGCCATGGCCTAGATCTGGGTATTCAGGCTGCAGAGTCTATGCCATTAACCAGAACACTATATTACTTCTTAGCTGTAATATTGTTTGTGTTAAGAAAAGAGACAGGCAATATAGAAGAACTGGGGGTTTTTGAAACTGTAGTTCATGTGAATCCTTATGGGTTTGGAATGATGGTGAAGAAACACATCAGTAGTGATAGCCCAAAGACGGGACAGTTGGAAATAGAAAGAGGGGAGAGCTTTTTAACTCATCTGCATTAAATGATAGAAGTTATTAAATTTAATTTCAGTGAATTTTTTTTCAAAAATTAGATTCCCTGTTCACTGACAAAACATTGCGTTCAGTTCCAATTTTGAAAACCTTAAAAGTTTGAAATACATAATTTCATTATCATGTAGACCAATGCACCAAAACAATGCAAATCTCATTGAATATATACTCATAATTTGTTTTATTGCATATGAGGTAATTTTCCTATCAGGGTGAGAGTAAATGACGGACTATAGAAACGATTCCTGAAAGCAGTTTTTTAGGGTGACAGTAAACACACAATCAGATGTATTCAGGCAAACACTCTATACTTACTTGGTGTAAGGGATTATTCATATTTCATTATATTCTAGCAAATATTCGATAATTTTCTTAATCTACATCAACATTCTCTCAATTTCCTGAATTCTTTGGCTTCTTTAAAGATAACAAGTAGAAGAATAGCAAATATTTATTAAATATTTATGTGCCAGGTTCTTTGATGAAACTTTTGTGAATGATTTCAATCTTCTCAGTAAACCTATGGAGTAGATGTGTTAACTATTGCCATGTTTTAGCTGAGAAATTGAGATTAAGAGGATTCTTAGCTAAGGCTGCACAGCCTTAAGTATAAGGGTAAGGAGATTCAACCCCAAACAGTGGCACAGCAGAGTCCATGACTTTCAGTCAGAGTAACCTTGCCTATTACATGAAATTCTTCTCCATCCTCATCTTCCTTGTCTGTTGAGAGTATTATCATTCACTTAAAAAGAAAGAATATTATTTCACTCACTCTTCCTCACTGAAGCCTTATCTATGTTTCCCAATAAGAGAAAAAGGATGTTCTCTGAACCTGTGCTGTAGCAATTGCCACTTTTTTGCTCAACCACTTGATTTTTCTGGTTTCCTCATAATTCTTGGATGATCTGGAGGAGAAGACTTTGTCTCATCCTTGTATTACTACAGCCTAACCTAATCTTTGGTAGAAAATTGTGCCAATATATGTTTGTTGCATGAATTGGAAATTAATTAAGAATTATTTAACTTCATGGCACAATTTTTTGTGCAATTAAGTAAACATACTCTAGGCATTCTTTATTTATATATTTTTAAAATATATAAATGTGCATAAATCCATTCTAATTATAAAATATTAAAACAGGAAATACAATGAGAAAACTTCTTTCATTCCTTCCATCCCTTGCCATCAATTTACCCTCCTCACAGGTAAAATATTTAATATTTGGAATGTGTTTATGGGGTTATTTTTTCTTTCTACCCCCTCACAGTTTAATTTTTTTAAAAACCAGAAATGCATTATGCTCTCTGACTCATTTATAAAAATAAGTCTGGGGAGCTTTTCCTTGTTTCTAATTTTTCACTATGATAATTAAGATTGCAGTGAATATCCTTGAGCAGTCTTTTGTTGTTCATATGTGTATTTTTTCCGATTTGTTTCTGTAAGTAAAACTTACCTGTACAATGACCATTTGTATACCTAACCCTGAATTGTACCCCACATCTTTAAAATAAAAATAAAATGTGGGTTAAATGAGTATGAAATTTTTGATAAATATTAGAAAACTATATTTTTAAATTTTGTTTTATTTTATTTTAAAGTTTTAGGGTACAAGTCAGGATTGCGTACTTAAGTGGTTTGGGTACAAGTGAAGGTTTGGGCCTCCCATTGGACCTCACTTAGCCTGGATTAGGATCAGGCACCCTTATTGATGTTATGTGCCTCCTCCCCTAGCAGTGTCCCACTACTGCCAATCCCTTTTGTGTAGTATTATGACAGGTGTTCAGAGTTTTCTAAATTCTCAGTTTCTATCATATAATAAACTGATAAATAATTTCAATAAGAATTTTTCCCTAATCCAGCTGCTAATTCCACTCCTGAGAAATCTCAAATCTCTGCTTCACCCAAGGTGGGCCATGAGTTATTGCTGTTGTAACAGTTCTGCCCTTAGTTCATCCTCTAATTTACACTTTTTTTTCTCTCTCATGATCCTGCTTTTAAACCTTTAATAAATTTCCGTAAGAAACTTTCACTTTCCTAATGTGATTTCCTATGTAACTTTTTCCGTACTCTTTCAAGGCCACATTAATTCTTTACTCCTTAATGCTTTCATAATATTTTATTCATAGTGCTTATTCATTGACTACAGTTATCTGTCTTGCATCTTCCTTGCTAGACTGTGAGTTCATTGAAAACAAGGAATAAATTTTGTTCGTTTTTATATCCCCCAATCGAACAATGATTTAGCAAAACAAACACAAACACCCAACAACAAAAATATTTAGGTATTTTAGTTACTAACTTCAAAGTGCAAGTTGTAACAAATGAAATGTTCAAGGCGTTCAATTAATTAATTTCTTTCTTTCTTTTTTTTTTGAGTTGGAGTCGCACTCTGTAGCCCAGACTGGAGTGCAGTGGCCGCTCCTGGCCACCGCAGCCTCGACTTGCTGGGCTCCGGCGATCCTTCCACCTCAGCCTTCCAAGTAGCCGGAATTACAGGCATGCGCTACCACGCCCGGCTGATTTTTTGACTTATTGTAGAGATGAGGTCTCGTTGCCCAGGCGGGCCTCAAACCCGCGGGCTCAGGCAATCCACTCACCTCAGCCTCCCAAAGGCGCGGGATTACAGGCTGAATTAATTTCTTATATAAAAGGAATGAAAATTAGAATATGTAAGTGGGGAAACAGTGCCATTTTGTAAAGCAGCGTATATATCTTAAAACAAACAAAGAGCATATTACTAGAACCCATGTACATAAAATCATAGGATTTGGCATAGGGACCTGAATCAATGGAGAGAAATAACATTGTGTCATTGGAAAGCTCAAATTTGAAAAGATGTGAATACACTACAAATTAATTTATAAATCC